GTGTGCTTCTTCCATGTGGGCTTTGTTGCTTCTGAGCTAGATGGCTGCTTGTTTACTTTCAAGCCTTTAAGACTCCAGGTGCTATATCTTTTGATAGCCGGGCACCATCAGCTTTCTTCGCCACATTTTCTTATTCAACTGCTTTGTCTTCAGTGGTTGTGTCAGGACGGTGAACATCATAGAATGTCAATTTAATAGAAGAATGTATTCCTTGCATTGAGGGAGTACTTGAGTGGAGGCCCAATTTCAGCACATTTTTTAATGCAATTTTTGTGGTAAAATTTGGTGCCTTGGCTGATGTTTGGGTTGGCTTATACTCAGTATATATGGTACTTGACTGCTGATTAGGGGTCTAATCTGGGACCAGACAACGTGATATTGTGTGATCAGAGGCTAGTGACAGAGTTTCAAGCATATGAAAAAAATAACTTTTTGAAGTTTCCCATAATCTGACTCTCTGAAGTAATGACCACTAGCATCATGGGGGCTGCCTTCTGCAAATATTTTATCTCCTTATATAGAAATATAAAGTAAAATTGAGATTTTTCTTACTTTTTCACATACACACACAAAGTTATAAGTGTACTTACAGTATGGGTATTTCCCCTGACTTGAAATATTCTTCCAGAACATAATTTCTAATGATTACAGATACTTATAAAACACCATGCCATGTACCTTGGTGATAGCATTAACCTTTCTTTTGAAAGATGAAAATTTGTTCTAATAGGTTTTGATCTCTTCTCTTTTTCCACAGGAGATATGGTCGCAAAGTACCGAGACCCTCTGGTGCACACCTTCCTGAGGGGAACGCGAGATCCAGATAGTGCTCACAGGGCCAGCAGCTTATCCAACCTTGGAGAGCTGTGCCAGAGGCTGGACTTTCTGCTGGGCGCCATGATTCACGAGGTACTCGATGACTAGATGTCAGTGTTTTCACTTACACCCTGTCGAGCTTGGAATTAGGAGACCAGAGTTCATTTTCCAGATCTGCTACTACCTACCTGAGAACTCGGGGCAGATAAGTTACTTAACCTCTTTCATCCTCGTTTTTCTCATAGGTACTGTGGAAGTTAGAGGAGGAAGAGCTTTTTAGTTCCAGCTATTTTAGCTACTCTAAGCAATAAGGGGGGATTGACTGTCAAAACTCTGGGGTAACTAACAAAAGTGAAGAAGCGTGAAGAAAGAAGGATGGAACTTTAACCAAGTTCTCTGGGCCATCTGTACGCCTCATATCTCTGTTCACGGAAATGTTTCAGGCAAATTCTCCAACCAGCCCTTTCTAGTTACAGGTGCCTATGTTCAGGGGGTAAGGGAAATGCAGTTGTTGACCAGAAAAAAACTAGTTTCTGTGTTTTGTTCACCACTTTATACTTCAGTTCCTCGTACATAATAGGTGCTCAGTAAATAATGGTTTGGAGGATGAATCAGCAGCCAAAATAATAGCAATTTAAAAATAAAAATAATAGCACAACAAGTTATTGGGTCTGGCAGTTCCTCCTGGGTTTAGAGTTAGTGAGTTAATGAAATGTACACCTTGCTTCGTCCTCTGTCAATATCTTGTGTCCTCCATGTGCATCCTAAAGCCTCATAAGTGTTATCCTTGTATTTGTTTAGTCATCAATCTGTCTGTAGAAGGAGGCTTCAAAAAGGTAATATCTATCACTGTGTTATTTCATTAAAAGACGAGTTAATATAGCCAGGGTTATTTTTGATAACACATGCAGTTGACCATCTTAAATATTTTTTGGGAAAAGGTGACATATAAATTACAAGTAAGTCAATAAATTAGAAGTTAGATGAAAATTTTTATTTAAAACAAGTGACTAAGATTACTCACCTAGAGCATATAACTTCACAAAAATGAAAACTTAGAAATCTGTAACACTAACTTCTGTTACCATATTAGGGTCCTTTCACTGCCATTGAATCAATTCTGACTCAGCAACCTTATAGGAAACTCTGTGAGTTTCTGAGTCTGTAACTCTTTACAGGAATAGAAAGCAGCCTTGTCTTTCTCCCCCATATTGGGATCCTAGGACTGGCCATTTAAACTCTAGAGAATAAAAGTCCCTAGTGAGAAGATGAGAAGAGCCCTCCTAACTGCAGCAGTTCGAAACCACCAGCTACTCTGTGGGAGAAAGATGTGATTTCTACCCTATAGAGAGTTATGGTCTTGGAAATCCACAGGAGCAGTGCTACCCTGTCCTGGGGGGTTGCGAGGAGTCAGCATTGACTTGATGACTCTGAGTTTGTTTGTAGTTAGAGTGAGAAGTCTTCTTCAATATGGAGTGGTTATGCTTACAGGAAATGCACCCCACAGATGTAGACGTACATTTGTATTCATGTTATTTCCTGATTCCTGAGTTTTTAACATGCTGTGCTTTATTGATTAGGAAGGCTACTCTTTGAATTCCAATTTAAGATTTTCATGAAAGTCCTACGTTAGTTATTCCCTCTCTTTTAACTAAGAACTCTTCCTTCACTGGTCCCAGGCCCACACCTAACCCTGATTTTCTAAATGTTTTTTTTCCCCAGTAACTTAGAAATAATGAATAACAGCAGAAATGTCATTAACTTAAAACCTGAGTGCTCTAATGGGCATAGGCCAGTGAGCCTGTGACCTTCGGCTGTTTGAGCACTTAGCACATTTCTGGTTATTTCATAGTCCTAACCTGTAACAGAAGACTTTGTGGATCTCTTTGGTTATACTACTTAAAGATTTAAGTCTGTTATAACTCCACTGAGTCAGACACTGCAATGATCCAGAGGTTTTTTTCTTTTTTCTTGTTTTTTTTTATGTGACTCAACCTGAACCATACAAGTCATTAGCTAAAATAAACCAAATGTTATTTTAATTAATTTATTTATTCCAAATGTTATTTTTAATGACCACTTTGTTGACATTCATATACTGTATAACTCACCATTTAAAGTGTACGATACAGTGGTTTTTAGCATATTCACGTAGCTGTGCGAGCAGCAGGATTGTTTGGCCTAGCCACGAATTAAATAAGTATCTCACTCCAGATTGCCAGTGAACCAGCTCAGGCACTAAAACTAATGAACCTTAACGATGACAAAACATCGTGATCTTCTTCCAAACACTGGGACCATATTTCTTTTTGAGTTCCTAAATGTCTCTCTCTCTTAGGGAAACTGTAACTTGCAGGTGATTTGCTCTTGAGAGTGTTAAAAAAAATGCTTGGTTTAGTTGATTAGAAAGATTGAGCTGGAGTAGCCTTGGCTACATTCAGGAAGTGTCATCTTTCTGGGGAACCATGCCACCTATTGAAAGAGAACCAAATTCCCAGAAGCACTCTGAGATGGGAATGGATGCGGGCTCCATGGCTTACTCATCTGTGGTCCTTTGAACAGATGGTTAACACTCTGAAGTTCAGTGTCCTGATGTAGATGAGATTGAAACATCTTCAACAAAGGATTGAGGATTTGCAGATAAGATATATAAATGTTTAATAAAATAATTCATTAAACACTTTCATTGAGAGTGTGCACAGCAGTATTCTGGACACCGGGCACATTTCATTCTGTCATATGTCGAGTCATTATGAGTTGGAGCCAATTTGGAAACCAGCTCATGAAGATGTCTTGTGGACTGAAATGTGGTGTTGTTGATGCTGGTTTCCAAGTTGGCCAGCACTGTATTATTATGTTAAAGATGTCTCGGTGTAGCTGGAAGTGTTTCTTTAATGTTTTTTATACATAGAAAGGTACACTATATACTAAGACAAACAATGTATCGCATTGGGCAAATCTGCTGTAAAAGACCTCTTGAAAGGGTTAAAGAGGAGAGATGTCCCCTTCAGTAATAAGGTGCACTTGACCCAAGTCATGGTTGTCAACTGCCTCATATGCATTCAAAAGCTAGACAGTGAATAGGGAAAGGTGGGGGAGGGGAAAATGATGTTTTTTGAATTATGATGTTGACAAAGCATAGTGAATATACCATAGACTTCCAGGAGTTGTGGGAAGAAAATCTATAGTAGAGTAAACAGCAAGAATGCCCCTTAAAAGTGAGGATGGTGAGATCAGTCTCTGGAAGAGGACGCCAAGTTTAGTAAAGTAGAGGGTCAGTGAGAAAGAAGAAGACCCTTAACAAGATGCGTGACACAATGGCTACAGCGCTAGGCTTAAACATAGAAATCATTGTGAGGACGTCACACACAGACTGGGCAGTGTTTCATTCTGTTGTACACAGAGCTTTTATGAGTTGGAACCAACTGACAGCATCTAACAACAATATGGCAAACACTTGACTAACATTAGATACAAATCCTATCTGACTGTTCCTCCCGATGTACAAACTCCACTTAAAGACAGAGCTAGGCCAGGGATTGGCTGTCTATAATAAGGTGTTTGTACAGCATCTAAATCATATAATGTTCTGTTTCTCAGAATATATTGTGGATCTTAGGTAACACATGACTGTTTGTTGTGGATCAGTAAACTATCTTATATGATACCCCATGGTTTGTTCTTTGGGACTAAAAGGGAAAGTGGAGTAGGGTGAGTGATCAGAACTGTGATGTTGCTGGAAGGGAGGGTGTAGTGTTAAATAGGATAGCCGATGTAAACCTCATTGAGAAGGTGACGTGTGAGCAAAACCCAAAAACTTTTATTTGTATATATTACGATTTTTAAGGAGCATTTGGCCTTTTTTTTTTTTTTCCATCTTGGCCTTAAATGAGGCTGCTGACGAGAATGATGCGGATGTTGAGTACCATGGAAATGCAGAGAGCAAAAGTAACCAATGTCCTGAGTCACTTACTTACTAGACATCTATGGTGTGCCAGACCCTTTGTTGGGGATTGGGAAAAGAAAAACTTATGGTCACCTTGCCTTTTGCTTATAGGTAATCAGTGACAATTACAGTGCCTTGTCAGGGGTGCTTGGAGTCAGATTTGGAGTTGGCAAAGATATCCTGGAGGAAGAGAGCTTTGGAGTTTAAAATGGAGGATAAATAGAGCTTAGGCAACCTGAGAAGGCAGAGGTGAACACTTCAGCAGGGGAAGCAGCTTGTGGAAAGGCACTGTGGTGTGGAACCACCTGGCATGTTTGACTATAAGAAGATTCTCAAAACGCTGGAGTGAAGGGGCGGGGTGTAGGGACTAGTTGGTGGCAGAAACTC